TTCTTACTAAAATGCATGAATTTCTCAAGAGGTCTTCATGAGATCACCAAAAAATCAATATAACTTTCATCATTTCCCAAAAATTTCTGTTGTTTATTAAAACTTGGTTTATGTTGAATAACAATTCATTGCTACCATGAACCCTAAAAGAAAGACTTTATCTACCAAGAATCTTTACAGTCTCAAACACTCTGTACAATTCATCAATTTTTTTTCTGTTTAAGAGTTTTGAAGGTTCGTAAGATCTATGTTAATTAATATCTTAATCCCTCAATTTTGTTCTTGTACAACATAAGCAGTAACTCAGTCTCCGTAAACCTGTGAGTTTTAGTGTCTACGGACAACGTGATAGAATTGTCTGAAATTGGAACATCCTGCAGTAAAAGGTGGTGACAGCGCCATAATAAAGATCTATAATTTCTCAATTCCATACATGGATAGAAAGTCGGGACCAATGGACTTTTGCACCCGTGGTAAATGGCGATAATAAAGGGAATTCAGCTTAAAATGAACATAATCTACATCCACAAACACTGATGGTTGAATAGGATGTTTTGAAACAAAATCAAGTTTTTGAAAAACTGAAGCATTTGATGGTAGAGTGAAGATGTAAAATCATCATCAGAAGCTATGTCCACAAGCTGGATAGAAGAACAAGAAGTGGTATTTGCAAACTTTATTAGATTCATCTACACATGTGCTGAAAAGACCTTTCTCGTTATTGACTGGAGAAGCAGAAGCTAAAATCAGAAGATTAGTTACTGCAAGGTATTCATCTAGCCACAGAGAAGTTTAAACCTAATAGAAAAAATGTTACGTATAATTCAGTTGTTATATGGCATTCATTCTATTGATGAAAAAGATGTTCTCTTTAGATATAACTATGAAAAGTTTAAAAACGTATATCTAAAGAATAAATAAAACCAGAAAATATGACCAATTCTCATATTAAAATGGTTTTAGTTTACTCAGCAATTAAAATATAGTAAACTATGTGAGATGTAATAATCAAAATATGTGTGTGTGTTTGATTTTAGTTCTTTTAATTTACATATAATGTTACTAGTAGTTTAATTTGGCTTACTTTTTACCTCTAAAAAAACATAATTTTTCATCAAAATTTCTGTTACAGATACTGAAAACTAATGATTGTTCATTGCTCATGAACTGTCATGTGTTTTCAGCAGCTGTGTCTGTGGCTATGTCCTAATAAGTTCAATTACATGTTACTTTGGAGCAGCAAAATGAATCAAGAAACAAAAATTGAACAATTAATCTACAAATTTTCTTTCATGTGAACTTGCATTACTTCTTGTCATTGGATACCTTTTCAATTTTGGCGGCCTTTATCTCTTGTAATCTTTGATAGCCAAATTTTGTATCCAGTTTTTGTTTTCATTTGTATTATGACTTAACTTTTTTTATAGATACACATAAATAACAAAAAAAAAAAAAGTAGAAACTGTGGGTGTTTCAGACTTCAGTTACTGTTCATGTCAAACTAGAGGCTATTTTTGATTTTCCCCAAGATGCACCTAATCTGCATTCATTGTAGTGCAATACAAGGTTAAAATTCTAATATTGCCAACCAAAACCAACAGCTTGTGTTTCTCTTAATCTCCTTAGTCATTTATTTAGATTGAAAACATTTAAATTGGTTTTAATTCTTCCATATTTCCCATTTTTAATGTAATTTTTAAACTTTTAATATTACATAAGAATACCAGTGCCAGATTATTGCTGCATGGGCCATTCTTGCTTATGTGTGAACTATTTGTAAAAAGTCATAACTTTTTATGGAGTAAAATACACCACAAATATTTAAGTTGTTATGCTGTTATTTGCATTATTTATTGTTTTTAAAATCATAGTGACATGTAATAGTAGAGCTTGGTAAATAAATTTACTTAAAATAATAGTACATTTTGCAGTGAGTGTTACGTGTCATTTGATCACTATAGCAAAAACAGTTTACCCCTAATTGCAGGAAAAGCATTGCTTGAAAAAATAGGGGGGGGTGCCTGAATCTGCCCCTGATATGTATATATAAATTGTGAAGTAAGATTTCTTTTTGCTTGCCTTCCTCAAACTTCATTGTATATGTATACCACTAAAAGCAACAATAGAGCAAAGATGTGGAACAGGAAGCCCTTTGCTTTGTTTTTCAGAAAAATCCTTCAATGAATACATAGTAATTTGGAATGCAATTAGAGAAAAAGTAAGTGAAAGGCACTACTCGCAAATATCTGATAGGACTTGTAAATTAATAACATCGTTCTAAACCTAGAAACCATATGGTGTGTATTATAGCTAAAAATGAAGTTATCTTCTTATCAGTGAAGTTCCGTTTTATTTAAAGAGTGCTCTTAAGAGCTTTAATTCTACATTAAAGGCTTTAATTCTGTACATTTATTAATCTTCCAGTAAATGCTAAAAATATAATATGGAAACTTTACATTCCTATCTTTTGTATATTTGGTTTACTCAGTTTTTTAATATAATTTTCCTACACACTTGGGTATTTATCTGTTGATAAAATGGTGCACACTTTGTTTTTGTGTATTAGAAGAAATTAAATTCTAGACATCAAAGTAAATACACTTATTAAAATATTTTGTGAGATGTAATGTTCACTAACTACTGAATGATTCAGGGTTTTTTTATATGTAACTAAAAACCAGTCAGGTATTTTAGAATTCATTTGTCCACTCAAATTAACTACTAAAACTGCAGAAACTAAATATACACTTTATCATTTGTTAACGACTTTCATGTTTGTACAAACTTTATATAACTGTGTAAACTAGTTAGATTTAATTACAACACTTATTTAATTATAAGAAACATATTAAAACAAATAACTGGTAGTTACATGAAATATTTACATCTAAGTCATTCACTGTTTTATTACCAGTTGTAAGAAAGTTATTATTATTTTGGGAAAATTATGATTTTTATTTGTTTGTAATTAAGTGCAAAGCTATATAATAAACTATCTGTGCTTTGCCTACCATGGGTATTGAAACCTGATTTTTATCAATATTAGTCTGCAGACATATTGCTGAGTCACTGGGGGACAAGATAATTGTATATTGTACTTACATTTAAGTGATAAACAAGTTTATGAACTAAAAGATTACAGATAGTTGTAAAAGTAACTGCATCCAAGTACTACCACAATCTGTATTGCCAATTATAAGAGCTTTCTCATTCATGCATATTATAGATAATAGTTTAAACTAATTCCTTACAAGAACTACATACTCTTGTGGAATGGATTATAAGAAATGTTACATACCTAAAAATTACAGATGGTTGCATCAAATAGCTACATTACATTCTTGTATTATTAGATTGTTCTGTTACAGAAAATACATGCATAAGATAGTGACATTACCTTCATAGTAATGAGTGTAAAATAACTCAACACCAGATTGTTGTTATTTGTTCTTATGCATTCATCACTGTTTCGTGTGAAATCAGATCAGTAACCAGATATTGTATTGAGACTGTACAGTCATTTCCTCGTATATCATTACAAGTTTGTGTTGAACATTATTTTATAGAACAATTTTGGATACAGTATTATTAGATGGATTTTCTTCCATCAAACAAAATGAGATTTCAGAACCCTGAAAAGGCATTAGAAATACAGAAGTATAATATTGTAACTTACTATAGGTAAAACTTTTAACTTACATTCACACTGCCATTAAGACTAAATTATGATAAATAGTAAAAAAAATTGTTTTATAATAATGATTTTCTTCTTCACACCATTCTCATATGGCCCAAAAAACAACCAGCAGAAATAAACTTTCATATGTTTGAAAGTATGTGTGTGTGTATATATATATATCACATTACCACTATCAGTCCAGGTTATATATAATGCAATAAAACATAAATTATTTGTAGCTACATGTGTATCATCATAGAAGAGAAATATAATGAGTGATTGTTAGAACAAAATAAGGTGACCTAATTCTTTTCAATCATACACAAAGTAAGGACCATGGGTTAATCTAGATAAAATTTTGAAACTTACTGTTATTCCACTAGAAATAAAGAGAAAAAATAGTAAATAATATAAGAAAGATCAAAAGAAATTTCTTCATAGTACACATTAAATTAATTGTTTACCTGTGTATAACCTGAATTACTGGTACAAAAAGGAAATGGTTGTGTTTTTGTTTCAGTATTAAGCATTTGTCTTTTTTTTTTACCAACCTGTTTCTTACTTTTATAAGAAAGTACTCTTTGTCTTTTTATTTTTTCACCAGAAAGTTATGATTCTGATTTATTTGTTTTCATGTGTTGTTTATCCATAACTCAAGTAAGTTTGATTGACTAACCAAAGCCATCTCGTGCAAAACAAATTATGCATCAAGATTATTTATAGTACAAGCATACTTTTTTGAATCATTTAGAGAAGTGAAGTTAAATGAAATGCAAATACTCAAACTACGATACTGAAATTACATGTACAATGTGAAAAAAAAAGTATATATATATTACATTTTATAATAATCCCAGAACTATGTTCAGGAAATAAAATGTTTGGTGTATGTGCAACTTTGAAAACATTTTGAACAATTAACTAATGGAACAGATACAGCTATGAAGAATGGGCTGTTCTAAGTAATGTTTTTATGAAGTTCTGTTTTGCTGTAGTGGCTCAACAGTATGCTTATGGACTTATAATGCTAAAAATAGGGCTTGATACTTATTTTGGGCATGATGTAAACAGCCCATTGTGTAGCTATTCACTTAAATGCAAATAAACAAAAACTTGTTTGCTATTTATGTTATTTATAAATAAAAGAACTTAGTATACTGTATCTTTTCTGACATTCTACAACAGCTTCCACATTTTCAGCTGGTGAAGTTAAGCATTAATATTTTGTGAAAGCTTAAAACAAAAAGTTTAAAGCTAATTATTGTTTTTTTATTGAAGGATTATTATACATGTTTAAATTACTATTTATTTATTTGTTTAGTATTAAATTTGACCCTCATTGACCTTCCGGGGATGACCCGAGTGCCTGTAGGTGATCAGCCTGTAGATATTGAACAACAAATTAGAGACATGCTTCTCATTTATGTTCGAAAGGAGAACTGTCTTATACTAGCAGTATCGGCAGCCAATCAGGATTTGGCAACATCTGATGCTCTAAAATTGGCCAAAGAAGTTGATCCAGAAGGTATGATATTTTATTTTTAATTTATGTCCCCAGAAAAACAACTGTTATTAATGTGACTTTCATTCATTTTTCAGTATTAAGTCTTACTATAATTGATCTTCCTGGTATGACCCGAGTACCAGTTGGTAGCCAGCCTTTGGACATAGAAAGAAAACTTCATGACCTGATATTGTCTTACATCTCTAAATCCAACTGTCTTATATTGGCAGTATCTCCAGCTAATACTGATCTGGCTACATCTGATGGTCTAAAGTTATCTCAAGAGGCAGACCCCTTAGGTTTGGCCCTTGATTTTATAGCCTGGAGTGACAAAATTTAACAGTTTTTTTTAGTTGTTGAAGTGATCCTAAATTAACTTGACCCAAACACCTGTTGTTTTTAAATCATGTGAATTAAGAAGTATTCTGTATTGTCTGAGCATGTAATGGAAAAAAAAAAAGCTTAGTTGACTTGGATTGTAGTAGATGCAACTGAACACTAATGTAGCCTAACTGCTTATAGTAGTTTAGTTTAGAATATCTGTTAAAATTGGCTTGTTTCAACTTAATGAAGGTCTTATTGGCATCATATCTGAATATTTAAAGAATGCTTATAAGCTGTTAAAAAATATGATTTTTTGTAATGTTATAACTTTGAAATTGGTCTCTTGTGCAAGGATCTTCATATAGCAATTATGAAAACATCATGATTTATGGCTGAAATTTCCAATGAAAAAATTGGATCTTATTTCCTGAGATCAGTTACTTTTCTCAGTGTTTTAATGCAGTGCTTGGCATTATTAATTAAGTAAATCTATACTTTTCTTGTACATACCTGCTCACTTCAATAATAGTGTAAGTTGTTTTCTTTGTGCAAAGAGCTACTTATACTTATGAAATTTCCACATTAATATTTCTATTTATATAGGTATAAGGAAAAGAAAGGTTTTGTGTGAGCTCATTTATGAACCTTATTTGCTATTTATTTTAAGGTAAATGTTCATCTAAACATATGCTTTCAGAAATAACCAACTGGTATTGGGAAATTCATGTAATTATTTTAAGCCTTTATAATAAAGAAAACTTGCAGGGTACTTAAGGATAAGCACTTCACAATATTGTAGCCTTCAGAGAGATTTGATTTTGATTTTGCAAGAATTTTTTTTCACCTTTATATTATCATATTTGTTTTTATGATATTAAGCATGCCTATTACCCAAGATAAAGTAACATAAAGAACTGGAATAATCATGCATGACTGCAGATTGTTATACTACAGTATTTGAGAAATCTAGATTTATATTATCTAATATTTAGAGATATGCTTTGTAGATTCTTGGGTTAAATTGAGAAAAACTATTTTGCCTTGTTGAAAAATTGATTACAAAAGTTAGTTAATTTTATTTTAGTACTGAGTGATTCATTGCATGACTAACTATGGTTGTTTTTAGAGGATTAAGTATAAGTAAAATTGTCAGTCTTATTAGTCTCAATAACCAGAAGAAAACTATTTGATATGATACCCATTGTTAAGAAGAACAAAAAAACAAAGTAAATAAAGAAATCTTCAAACTATCTACCTCTTACGTTTTGTTTAGGTCTACGAACAATTGGTGTCCTTACAAAGCTAGATCTGATGGATGAAGGAACAGATGCTAAAGATATTTTAGAGAATAAGATCCTCCCACTTCGTAGAGGTAAGAAACTTTACAGTTCATTTTAACTGTATTTTTTTTTAATTATAAATGAAGTCAAAAGTATATTGAATCTGTTTATGTGGTTTTAAAAACTACTAGTTGTCTTTTGTAATTGGTTAATGAGTAATGATTTTTGTTAATAGCAAAATCAGAATAATGTTGAAAACTGAGGAACATTTGATATTTTCCTATGTTTCTGGTGACATACCTTAAAAAATACATCAGAAGACTGTGTCTGATTTGATAGGAACAAAGTAGATGATAAATAAATTAGTCTTAGATGTGCATCTTGGATGTGTAACAGGCTTCACCAATTTATATTTGTTGTTAAAGGCAATGGTGGAACTGAACTGGTAGTATAGATATAGATTTTTTTTAATGACCATTATCAGAAGAAAATCTGAAACTAGTAACTTGAAATATATGACCTTAGAACACCAAATACCTTGTACTGCCAGTTATGGTTTGTGTTTTATTGGAATGCTCCTGAAGAAGATGTAAAGTGAAATGTTGAGTGTCTAAATAAATAAAAATAACAATTTGGTGTTATAAGGTTGTTTATTTCTAGTATTAAAATATCTTTTATATACCAATATAGAAGAAGCTCATTAAACCTCAAAAATAAATCATAATCTGCTATATAGTGTGATAAACACAGCTTACTAGTAAGTAGACACCCACTCCAAAAATAATGTTACTTTATTAAATAAACAAGATGCAAAAGTTAAAACAGTTCCATTGGATTTTAGTACATCTACCATTTGCAGTATCTATAATCTGTGCTTGTGGGATTGTATCCCATTCCTGACAAAGAACGTGGATGTGGATGTCCCAAGAAGTTGGTTATTTGGGATATTTTTTCAGAAACTGATCAGTGATGGACACCAAATGCTCAATAGTGCTTATATCTTGCAGTTGGTCCAACCAAAGGTAAGTGGTAATGTCTTGGCCATTAAGCCATTGTTTTTTACTTGGGCTGAATGAACAGGAGCTTCATCCTGCATGAAATTGCAGCCTTGTCAATTAAGCTGGTCATTGGCATAGACAGGTATAAGGCCTTGCTCAAATATTGTACATAAAATGTATTAAGCAGCAGTGACCTGTCCCTTTGCATACAATCAACTGTGATTGTTCAACTGTCAATGTCACACCATAATGGAAATGTTGTCATAATGTGTCATGGCTTACATAACAAGTTTCTGGAAGGATAGTTTCCAAATGTAGGTGTGTCTACTGTTTAAGAATTATGCAAACCTGAACTTGTCTGTAAAAACAACAACAGTGTCCCAAAAAGCAGGAAGGTGTAATAGCATATGTGATGCCCATGGCTGTTGACACATACGATATTGCCTGAAGTAAAGAGTGGCTTCTGTCTAGCTACTATGCCGTAGTAGCCACTGCTAAAAAATAACTTCTGATGGTTTGAGGGCAAGTTTGGGCCTGTCCTTCAAGAGTAATGGCTATTTGACATGGGTATTTTTTTCACTTTTCTTAAAGCTAAAGATCTTGTTCTGTTGTGGTTTTGGGTGCTTGGTCCATGTAGTAACTGTGACTGGAATTACACTGTCACCCTATTTGCTGTGTACAACAGTATTTCAGATGAACTGCCAGTATCTTGCCGATGTTTACTACTCTCTCATTGTCCAACTATTATACATTCTCGTGAAAATGTGATTATTTCCTTGGATCCTTTTATTCATGGCATGGCTGTTTTCATTCTGTGATGTTTATCAAGCTACTTATTCATCAGAGTTATTTACATTAAAATTGTGGAGGTGGTCGATTTGCATTCATTGAGATGTATACATGTGCATTTTCCATTTATGTAACATAGAAAATATAAACAAACGTGACAATATTACAAAATTTGATAATTATTACAATGTATAATGTAATGCTTGTGCAAAATATTACAAGTTCGTCCTAACATTATAATAATGTTGTAGTTTGATTATCATGGTACAACAAGCAGTTTTACACATGACAAAAGTGTAATCTGATTGCTAAATGAAAAGTGAAATAACATAATTTATAAATATTTGTATGTAGTTACTATAACAGTTGTGTGATAATACTTGTTTTGACATCATTTTTTGTTATGGTGTAATGTCTGTGAAAGTGTACATATACAATGTGGTATGATAATATTATGTAATGCATTTTTAGATATTAGTAGAATGTAAAAGCTTTTGATAAAAATTTGGCACAATGGTAATACGTATTCCAATTGATTGCTGTGTTGTTTTCCTCATATATCACTTTCCGTATATGAGTTGAACTGTGAAAATATATTATTTTCATATGAACTACTTTGGAGAACCTGAAAGATGCAACAAAAAATTGCTCCATTTTTACTCTTCAAACAGTACACCTAAGGTCCTCAAGAGGTGATCTGTGGGCCCTGAAAACCTGAGTTCTGGCTGCAGATTCATTTTATTAAAAGTTGTTTGAGAACAGTTTAGTATGGAGATTTTGCATGTATTCAATCATTAAATGTATAGTAAGCTAGCTACTGTAAAAGTTTGATTTTCTTTCCAAAATAAAATTATTTTTGGTTATTAAATGAAGTCATTCACTCATGCCACCAATATCACTTTCTGGTCAAATCAATCAACCAGTCCTTGGTAAAAAGTAATTAGGGACCAGAGCAATAGAACACTCATAAAGAGTATAAATTATGTTAACGAACTTACCCACATAAGTAGTCAGTTTGTTAATATAACTTCTGAACACCTTTTGTATATATAATAAAATGTAACTGAAGTTTATATTTGGTTTCAGGTTATATTGGAGTTGTGAACAGAAGTCAAAAAGATATTGAAGGAAGAAAGGACATCAAGGCAGCCTTAGAAGCTGAAAGAAGATTTTTCTTGAGTCATCCTTCATACAGGTACATGTATAATCATACACCTAAATTAGACAGATGTTCTTCATCCAAGAAATTTCTCTCAGTTATGTATCCATTTTAAGCAAACATACCTGGTGTGTGTAGGAGGGTTCTGCTATGGCTCATTGAATATTTCATGAAAATTAGCTTTTGCAATGTGTCTATTTTTGAAACCAACAGAATCTTTAACTGCTTCCCAAGTTATTTTAAAATCTCACTCACAAATTAAATCCTAGAAAACACAGAGACCAGTCAACTTGCAGCCATATTGTTATCACAAGAAGATGAAGTAGCAGAAGATTTGTTTTTAAGTAGCTTTTGATTGATCTGGTGTGCTATCAAATTGAAATATGCAGTTTCCAAAACATACCTACCTCTTCTCACATTAAAGCTATTACTCGACTGCTGGGGTTTCCTTCCTTTGCCCATCTGAGCATTAGTCAGAATATTTCTCACTTGCTCCAGTCTTTTATTCTCCACTTAACTGCCTTTGGGGATATCTGTCACATGACACTCTCCACCTACATCAGTGTGCTCTCTCTTCTGGTACTGTATATAAGCATCTTATTCAGATAATATTATCACTTTTTCTCAACAAAGCATTCACTAATATGTTTCTCTGTACTACGATACTTTGAGTGATCTTTGTGTTATCTATTTTATTTTCGTATTAAGAAAACATTTTTGAAAGCCAATATACAGCATGAATTCCCGGATTATTGTTTCTGGCACATGCACAAATCAGGTCTCTCCCATCCCTCTAATAACTAGCATCACTCAATAATTGAGGAGGGGGGGGTCACTTTCAGTTGGGCCTGTCAGTGACCCTATTTGTACTGAGAAGATGACATATAAACATATATATATATATATATATATATAATTGGTCCAGTGGTGTTTCTCCGGGGGTTTCTGAGGCTGCATTTGAGGGTGATCCTGGACATTCTGAGGAGAATTTAGAATTGCTTTTTCTTATGCCTTCCTTTATTCTGTTGGCTTCTTAGGAGGCCACTTTGGGATCAGCCAGCTCTGGCTCCTTTTCTTCAGTTGGTCCATCGAGTGTGCAATGTTTTGGGTCTTTCCCAGGATTGCTTTTGAACCTGCACCTTCCTTGATGGCTGAAAGGTCTGAGAGCAAATACTTAGTTCTCCCTCCATCCACTGATATTGTGGTTCATGCAGGGAGGTTTATTGCTCAGTTACATAAAGGGACAGCTATGTCTTGACCATCACAGTTGTCGGAACTACGTGATATAGCCTACCACTGTCAGGTGGATGTGTATTCAGACTCTCAAAGAATACACCTGCTCCTGGAAATTTGGAGTTCTAGTAGGAGTCTGTAGTCAACCTGAATAGATCACAACTTTCTAGGATATGTCTCACGCTATATATGGTGCTAAGATAATTATTATCCTTCTAACTTTGGTCTGAAGACTCTCAGGATCACCAAGTCAATTTGATGATGAGTTGGGATCGTTCTTAGCACGTACATTGGTTCAGTTGTCAACTTCTTCATTCATCCCTGTTGTATTTGGCATCTTGACTTTCCTCGGCTCCTACAGAGACTCATAGTTCAGTTCCTATTCAAGGATCCCAACCCCCAGCATCAACCCCTCGGTCCATTGGTACCCAGAATAGATTCTTTCCATATCTACTAGGTTCCTCCTCTGAGTCAGAATTCTGCCAGTGGCAGCTGTGACTGTTGTATGCCTTTGGGGTCTGTGGGGCTCGGCTCCAAGAATTTCTAGACATATGGAAAACATTAACCACGGATCCATGACCACTACAAGTCCTTGAGTCAGGATTAGTTTTCAGTTCACATATTCATCACCATTATCCACCCAACCTGTAGTGTTTCTAACTCCTGCAGATACTCAGATTTCAGAACTGTGTTCTAGTGCTATCAAAGATTTGTTGGTCTAGGGTGCAGTTGAGAGAGTCGTCCCAGTCTTCCTTTTATTCCTGTCTTTGTTGTGAACAAGGAGACAGAAGATTGGCATCCAGGCATAGATTTTCCTCAACTGTATCAATTCCTAGATCCTCCAAGGTTCACAATGAAGCCATTCCTCACTCTGCATTGGCATTTTTTTTAATTGGATTGTGTATGCCCAAGTTCGATGTAGCCAACTCCTATCTGCACATTTCCATAGTGGTGGCATCCCATCACTATCTGCATTTTGTGCACAAGGATCAAGTGCTGCAGTTCAGGGCATCTGGCCTTCAGACTAGCATTGGCACCACGTGTGTTCTGCCAAATCATACAAGTTTTTCTCATCACCTCTTTTCCCTAGGCATGTGTACACACCATTCCATGGATGACTGGTTACTGCTAGCACCATCTTGTCAGTTGGTGGAACATCAACAGATTCTACTTTCAGAAGCAGCCAAGGCAGGTTTCATTATCAGAGCTAAGAAATATATTCTCACTCCAACACTATATATATAGTCAGTCGATGTATCTTTTTCAACATGTATCTCAGTTGGACTCAGCTGGCTCACATCAGGCTTCAAGCGTGGAACAGGCATTACAACTCTTACTCACCTCTCCTTCTCCCACTGTGCAAATGGTTCTTTCTCTTTTGGGGATCTGGGCATCACTCAAATCCCTCATTCCTTTGGGACAAGTGCATAAGAGATTCCTGCAGTGGTCTTTATTCAACAAATCGATCATGAACAGCAATTCACTTGATTCCCCAGTTTCCTTATTCAGGATCATCATCTTTAATCTTGATTACTTAGATTGGAACAATACTATGATAGGTATTCCTCTGCTGCCACCTCGTACAGAGATCCATCTCTTCGTGGATGCCTTGCTTCAGGGATGAGGTGCGTATTTCAATGGTCAGGAAATCCAGGGTTTGTTCACGGATGATAGAGCTTCCGTACACAGTGTTTTAGAACTTCTTGCTGTTCAAAGGGTGATGTCTCATGGACTGGGCTTATTAAGGGGAAATTGTCAGGCTTCACTTTGACAATTCCACGGTTATGTCTTACATTTCCCATCAAGGGGCACTTGGTCCAATGCTCTTTGCTTTTGAACCTTGGATCTTTTTTCTTGGGACCACTCCTAATGTATCACTCCACAAACTTGCCATGTTCCAGGAATGATGAAATTGGTGGCAGATCAATTGTCTCAACCCAAACAGATTCTCCCAACAGAATGGATGCTGCATTGCGAGGTTTTCTGTTGGATTGGCTCTCATTTCAAAATATTGATGATTGGTGTGTTGGCCACTCATTGGAACAACCAAGTACCAGCATTTTGGCCTTCGGTACTTCACCTTCGAGCATTGGCAATAGATGCATTCCATCAGAATGGAATGGGATTACACCTCTAGGCCTTCTCACCAATTTGTATGTTACCCAAGGTATTAGCTATGATCTGTTCAAACCTATTGTCAGGTCCTGTTGATAACACCTGATTGGCAGCTAAACCCTGGTTTACAGTTCTTTGGTAAATTTAGGAGTGCCCACCTCTTCCACTTCCTTTTTCACCATCTCTGTTGAGGGAGCCACGATCCAACTTCCTCCCAGCCATCCTGAATCTCAACTTCTAGTATGGAGGTTCTGCGATCCTACGCACAGCAGTGGGGTTTATTTTCTAAGGTTGCCATGTATCTGTCTCAGTCTTTGCTTGGTCTCACAAGGGACATTTATCAATGGAAGTGGCACACATATCAGTAATGGTGTATTGAGAGGAGGTTGGCTCTTTTTTTTTTTTTCACCTGGCTCTTTGACAAAGCTTTTGCATTTTGCACACTTGCCTTGTATAAGGTGGCCTTATCGACTACTTTTAGATACATGAGGTGGAAATTATTTGAGTCTTCAGTCTCCTCACATTGTTTTGGGTCCTTCGTCCCAAATGACCGTTTCAGTTGTGTAACTGGTATATTAAGGTGGTATTACATGCCCTTTCTGAACATTCGTTTGAGACCTTAGCCTCGCGTACCATGTATCACCTTTCCCTGGAGATTTAATTTTTGTTGCTGGTAGCCTACAGATGGTGCCAGTTGGAGTTGTTTGCACTGAGCTTTATCATTCCACCTATGTTCTTCAACAGGTTCTTCTTCCCTAAGACACTGACAGCCAGAGAAGGGGATAAATCATTTTCACTATTTCATCTGACCACTATTTTTCACTTGTATGACCGATCGGATCTCGATCCTTTTTATATTTCCAGTGAGGTTCTTGAAGTGTTATGTTGCCTGCACTAATGCCTCTAGAGGTGCTAGACAAAGACTTTTTAATCATTGGGATCCTTTAGTTTCCTAGGACTTCTCCCTAGTTACTTTGTCGAGGTGGGTATGGAAATTGACCCATATCGCTTATTCTGGGCTCTCTTTGGCAGTGAGGAGTCTTCTGCAAGTCATGTCTCTTCAGATTCATCACATTTCTATGTGAGGTTGAATTGCCTGCTGGAGGAACTTGCATGAGCTGGTATGTGGATCTCCTCCAATACTTTTATCTCTCATTGTTTGCATGATCTGGCAGTATCTTCTTCCGAAGGTTTTCAAATAGTCCCAGTAGATATCTTAATCACATCCACTAGATTATAAGGAGGTGTGAATATCTTCATGACTAATATTGTCTCTCCTTTATTTTCCAGGGTCCTCTTTTTCACAGGATCCTACTCTATGGCAGGTGTTGCCCAGGCACGTGTGCTTTAACCAAACTAATTCCAAACTAGCAACCAATAACACTATATTCTTCATATAAGTTGAAACAGGCTCTGTCGGAATCTGGTGTTCCATAAGACCACCTCGAAGCAGGCAGGTAGTATTACTGTACTAAGCTGGACTGCCACTCATGGCTATCCTGAGTAAAACATAAGGGGATCTTGCCCATCATTAGATTGAATAAATCATGTCAGTTTGCTTTTAAAAATTTAGGGAACTTGATTCACCTAGTGTATTGTTTCTAGAGTATTATTCCTCAGGACTCCTTAATGCACATTACCCCACCCCCCTCATTTTCTACCAGTGGAGCTAGGAGTCCTTACCACACCTGTTTACCAGTTGCTGGGGTGGTAGAAAGAGGCTGTTCCTATAGTGATGACGGATTACATCATATCCCACCTGAATGGCATGATTTAGGTTTTAGGTGTAGAGCATACCTGTTGTGGATGCAGTGCGGTTCTCACACTAGGGTGCTAAGATTCTTTTGGCACACCCATGATCTATACAGACACATTTTGTATAAATACTGCCCTCCACCTTATCAATACTGGATTTTAGCTGTAGTATGAGCAGAGGTAAGTATGTTTAGGAAGTTAACATTTTCTTAAATTGAAAATGTATTTCCAATAGTACTTACCTCCTTTCACACTCTCCCGCCCTTCCTTTCCACTAAGAGCCAGTGTAAGAGAATGCATATTGGGTCAGTCTCGAAAAAGTGATAATATTATTTGAATGAGGTGCTTATGTACAGTAACAGTAGAGAGGGTGCATGGACATAGGTAGAGAGTGTCACATGACAGATATCACCAAAGGCAATTAAGTGGGGAATAAAAGATGGGAGCAAGCAAGAAAAATTCAGACCAGTGTTTAGATGGGCAAAGGACGGAAACCCTAACAGTCAAGTAATATTTGTAATGTGAGGGGAGGTAAGTATTATTGGAAATACATTTTAGATATAAGAAAATATTAACTTCTATAATTATACAAATCTAAGGATCACTACAGTTTCTTTGATATGATGGAATAGGTACCACTATATATTGGTTTTGAAAAAACATAAATATGTTTAATTGTACAACAGTGTAAAACTGTAGGTCAAAAATGACTTAAATAGTAAAGTTTATGTTAGGAACCATGAAGCTTTATTTATAAGCAGAATTGGTTTGATCTATGTCAAAAAAAAATTTGATGAATATATATGGACTTTAAAAAAATTATAAAACTTATTGTACAATTTATGATTTAAATCACCAAAACAAGGTACTACACATGGAATATGGATATTGGAAGCTATTTGTTTTTCTATCAAAAAATTGGTGGTGTAAACATATTTTGCACATTTATGAACTTTTAAATGACCAAAAATATATTTGCATCAGAAATGTTATGTGACCTTGTAGCTCAGTGGTAAGCTTCAAGGTTCATAGCACTAAAAGTTGGGGTTCAGTCCCTGCATTAAACATAGCACATTTTACAGCTTTAATAACAAAAATGTTATTTATACAGTTAGAAGGCATGCGTGAGAAATATGCTAAAAAAATATGTAATAAATAAATATATATATATACGCATTTAATTAGAGAAGACAGAGATTAGGTTTTCAATTGGATTACCAAGCTTAGAGGAAATTATTTTTGTACATGTTGTTCTAGAGTTTTTACGAAGGAGATACTTATATATTTCTAAAGTTTGCTATTAATTAATATTGATGTATTAATATACTTTTAAGTTACAAGAATAATGATGATAGTAATTTTTATTTTGATTGACAGAGGTACTTGATATGGGTAAGCAGAGAGAAAAAATGCTTTTAATAAGTTTTTTGATTTAAACTTTGTTTTCAAGAAGAAAAAGATCAAGGTTCTTACCAACACTTTCAAAGGGGCATGATAAATGGTGCCCAAAACTCATAGCAGAGTCTTTTTACCTTTAAGGATGACTAAAATTCACCTCAGTTCTTTTCTATAGCTACAAACTCAAAACAATTATCAACGACGCAATTTATGTTACTTAGCAATTACACTCTTAGTCATGTAATACTGTAGTTGAGATCCCTTTTCTTATTTATAGGCACATGGCAGATCGTATGGGAACTCCTTACCTGCAGCAAGTGCTGAATCAGCAATTAACCAATCATATTCGAGACACCCTTCCAGCACTGAGGGATCGACTGCAGAAACAGATGCTTTCAATGGAGAAAGAAGTTGAAGAATATAAGAACTTTTCTCCAGATGACCCATCACGGAAAGCTAAGGCCATGTTACAGTAGGTTGTATTTTTTAAAATAAACACTGAAAGTTATGTTGAAGTAGTTTATTTTGTTGCATTTCAATGTATTAAATCAGTTGAGGTATCTAGTTCAAACCATTGTTCATATGTTTTTTTGAATTAACATATGGGAAAACGTACATTTATAAGTTTTAAGGTTTGTAAAGCAGAGTTATGACACACATTAAATTGATGTTTAACTGTGTTTTTTTTATATTTACTTTCAAAGTAAGAAATTGAATAAGGTGTAATACTAAAATTTCAATTATAATCTACAGTTTGATGCCAAATGTATTGACATAAATTCATTAAATAATAGCTCATTAAAACTTTGAGTGGGAGTCAACAAACACGATGACATGGCCTTTCACCCATGACCCGTCTGGAAAGGGTTAAGGAATATTATAACACAAAAAAGTTTTGAATCTTTGAAACTAATGAGAAAAAAAATTGAATCTGTATGGTGGGCTTGTATGTTCTTATCAGATATTTTTTCTTCTGTAGCTAAGAATAATTTGAGAGAGAAACAAACAATACTTTTGAAAATTTAGTAGAAGAAGGTTAAAAGCAGGTCTTATTGTGGGAATATTTTATGTAAACCCACAGATCTAATTGTGGGAATATTTTATGTAAACCCACAAGTGTTAGATATTTTTTGATAACTTGTATATAACTGAAATTACTTTTCATTATTCTTAAATAAAAAAGGAAAATACCAAAAAAAAAGTTGAATTTGTATAAAATCTGAAAAATTACTTTTTTTATTGGTAGGATCAAATGCTTAATGTTATTGAAAAGAGCTGTTGTTTCAGTGGATTTCAGTTGTTAATTATTTCATTAGATGATTATATTAAATGAACCATTTATATCTACAATTATTTGATCTAACACATTTTAAGTAAGGTGATTCTTATGAGCCATAAATCAAAGTTTGATATGGAGATGTAATGAAACATTTACTTGCATTAGGTATAAAAACATTTTTATATTTTGACTGTTTTTAGAGGTATTGTTATATGGTTTTCTAAGTAAAGAGAGAGCAAAAGTTTTATTATATGAACCAGATGTTTAGAAAGTTGTTAGTTTTTGTTGTTTTTCTGCAGGATAATCCAACAGTTACAGTCACAGTTTGAACAGAATATAGAGGGCTCTGGCTCCACCATCATCAATACCAATGAATTGTCTGGTGGAGCAAAAATCAACCGCTTATTTCATGAACGATTTCCTTTTGAAATTGTTAAAGTAAGTTATGTATGATAGTAATTGTTGCTGTTTTGTTGTATAAGTTAAATGTGTTTGTATGTGGTGGTTATACAATAATTCATGGGATAGTCTTCCATACAGTGTATTTCTGTTATAATAACCATATGCTTCTTTGGGCATTTGAATTTGTTTTTGTCCTTTCTGTTGATGTTAGTTTACAAACTTGATGAATTCAAAAGTTTGTCCGAGATCTTTTTTTTTTCATGACTTTTTGAAGACTTAGTTCAGCCTCATATATTTTCATTGGAATTTTATTTGTTAAGAAAGAAACTAAGACCAGGTTAGATTTGTTATGTATTATAATTTTGAATGGTCTGAAACCAAGCTAAATGAAAATTTAAATTTAGTAGTTAAATAAATGCCAATATGTATCCAATTTATATTTGCCAACAAGATTGATACACACAGTTTTCTTTTTTAATACAAATATATTTCAATATACAAACATAATACAATTTAC